GTAGTACAGCTTGTCTCTTAGGATGTTGTGAGGATTACATAGGTTAATATATAAAGCACTTACAATAGAACATGAAACTACTCTAAAATTAATGATGTATCACAAACATACACTAATAAATTTTAAATTAATGATCTAGGCTGGGCATGGTGGTGCACACCTGTAATTGAAGCACTTGGGAGGCTGAGGCAGGAGGATTACTGTGAGTTTGAGGCCAGCCTGGGCTACATATTGAGACCCTGTTTCAAAAAAATAAAAAGAGGGCCAGGGATTTAGCTCAGTGGTTCCAGCACCTGCCTCAAAAAAATAAAAAGAGAAAGACAGAGAGCAAAGATTGTATTGGTCACAGTGGCGCACACCTGTATTCCCAGCCTAGTGGATTCAAGGCCAGACTGAACTACAAAGCAAGGCCTGTCTCTGAAACAAAACCCAGAAATTAATAAAATAAAAAAGAAATGTGTGATGAGGCACCTCTAGTTCTTAGAGAGGGAAAATAGAATGGTGGTTGTCAGTGACTGGGGTAGAGGGAGGGAAGGAGGAATTACTGTAAAATGAACACAAAGTTTCTGTTGTGCACAGTGAAAGGAGTTATGGAGATAATACTGGTGCTATCTTCACAGTCTGAATGTACTTAATGACCCTGAACTGTAAATTTAGAAATGTTGGAGCTGGGCATGATGGTGCATGCTGTAATCCCAGCCACAGAAAGGCAGAGGCAGGGAACCTGGAGTGAGTTTGAGGCCTATCTAGGTTACACAGACCCTGTCTCAAAAAGAAAAGTGAATTTTATGTTATGTGTGTTTGACTCTTTAATAAGGGGGAAAAACTCGTCATAAAGTCAAACATACATACGGGTTCAACAAAGGAAACATTGGTTCTTTGAAAAAAATGAAATTTTTAAAAATTTCAGATTGCTCAGACAAAACAAAAATGACATACATATAAATAGTATTGGGGATGTAAACCGTGGACATTATTACATGTTTCGTAGGTCATAAGAAAAGGATAATGCAAACATACTTAGGAATTTGAAAATTTAGACAGAGGGGTTAAATGCCTTTAAAAGTTTAAGTAACTGGACCAGGGATTTAGCTTAGTGGTTCTGCCGCCTGTCTCACAAGGGCAAGATCCTTAGTTTGATCCCCAGTACCAAAAACAAAAAAAGTATAAGTAACTTCAGAGCGTGGTGGGGCACATCTGTAATCCTAGCACTCAGGAGGCCGAGGTACTAAGATCACCATGAGTTCAGGGCCAATTGGGCTACATTGTGAGACCCTGTCTCAGAAAAACAAAAGGGGCCGGGGATTTAGCTCAGCGGTTCGGTGGCCTTCTTTGCAAACGCAAGGACCCGAGTTCAATCCCCAGTACCAAAAAAAAAAACAACAAAAAATAGCCCAGTTTAGTGGTACATCCCTGTAATCCCAGCACTTTGGGAGACTGAAGCAGGAATATTGTAGTTCAAATTCATCTTGAGCAATTTAGCAAGATACTGTCTCAAAAAATAAAAAGGGCTAGCCAGGAATGATAATGCATGCATATAATCCCAGCACCCTGAAAGGTTGAAGCACAAAGATTAAAAATTTAGCATAGCCGGGCATGGTGGCACATGCGTGTAATCCCAGCACTTAGGAGGCTGAGGCAGGAGGATCATAGTGAGTTTGAGACCAGCCTGGGCTACATAGTGAGTTCCAGGGTAGTCTCGACTACATAGTGAAACCCTGTCTCAAACCCCCACCCCGAAATTTTTTTTAGCACAGCCTGGACAGCAGCAATTTATTTTAAATGCTGTCTCTAAAGTAAAAACAGTGTTTTAAAAACCTGGAGATGTAGCTCATTGTGAAAGCCCTGCGTTCAATTCCCAGTACTGAATGAAAGAAAAATGACATACCAAAACAAAATACAATTAAACCAACGGTGGAACCAAATATATAAAGATATCTTTAGAAAAACAACTAAGATAATTAAGCATTAACAAGCTTCTGAGTCACCTTTACTCTTAGCAGTAAAAGGATGATGGGTCATGCTAGCCATAAAATATATGACCTAGCTAATAATAGCCTAACAGGAATATGTGAAGACTTTATGAATAAAATTGTGCCCGGAAAGATGGACACAGTAGCAAATGCCTGTACTGTGCTACCTTGGTTCACAAACTTAATTCGTTCCGCGATTCTGGTTGTAACTGAATTGCCAGACTCGTGGAATGAATTCTGAGACCCAAATCACGAAAAGAATTAAGTTTGTGAACCAAAGCAGCACTGTGATTCCAGATACTCAGGAGCACGGCAGGAGGCTCATAAGCTTGAGGCCACCTCGGGCAGGTTAGCCAGGACCCTGTCTCAGTATAAAATATAAAGGGTTCGGGATGCATCTCACTGGTAAAGGACTCCTGAATCCAGTCCCCAGTGTGTTTGTGTTTGTATAAATAAAAACACAAGCTTGGGAATGCTGACTATATAAATTGATAAATATTAACAGACCACTCCTGTGTAGTTATTAAAATGTTTCTAAAGAAGCCAGGCTTGGGGACACAGGAAAGATCCTGTCTCAAAAAACCAAACAAAAACCCAGAATTTACAAAGAACTGACTGGAACACTGGAAAATGCTTGTTTTGTTATGTTAGAAGAATAGTATATAGTTTTGTTTTTGTATAATTGGTTTCAGACATGATGTCAACATTCATAGAATAAAAAGACTAGAAGATAGTAGTGCTGAATTGTGGTGTTATAAAGTGTTTTATATTTATACACACACACACATATATCTAATGAGGGGAAGAGTCTCGGCATAAAAAAATAGGAGAGGGGCCAGGTATGTAGCTCAGCATCACAGTGCCCACCTGGCAAGTGCAAAGTCCTGAGTTTGATCCCAGGTGCCAAAGGCTGGGGGGAAGAGGGGGGAGGGGGGATGAGAGTCCTCTGGTTAATAAACTGGTAGAAAAAATGGTTTTCTAGAAGTTCAATGCAATTTCATTTCCTATATGTGCCACTTTTAGGCTAAAATAATGACTTTTGTGAGCACACAACGTTGTAGGTTCTTTGGCTCTTCAGTTTGAAACACGCCTTAAAGTTGTCATAGCTGGCATGGTGACTCATGCCCATAATCCCAGCACTCTGGGAGGCTGAGATAGGAAGATAAAGTTTGAGCCCAGCCTGGGCAACTTAGTGACTTAGCAAGACCTTGTCTCTAAATGAAAAATAAGCCTCTTAAATTGTAGCTCAGTATGAAGGCCCTGGGTTCACGGTCCACTATTGGGGTGGGGGACCTGAGTTAGTCTTTTTAATCTTATACAGTATACTTCAGCCTCAGTGGATTTGTTTTAGGAGAAGTTTTCATTTTGTCCTTTTTTTTCTATTTTTATTTTTTTCTTTGACACAGTCTTGCCATGTAGTCCAGACTGGTCTTGAACTCATTCTTTAGCCCAAGCCATCTTTCTACCTCAGATTACTGGGATTATAGGTGTGCGCCACCATGCCCTGCCATTTCATCTTTTGACAGATCTGTTACAATGTCAATGTTCTCTTCTGCTATTTGGTAGATCTATTAGAAATTTCTCTGTAGTTTCTATCTTTTTGGGGGGGCGTATTTGAGACAGGGTCTCCTTATGTAGTTTAGCTGACTCTGAACTCAGTATGTAGAGCCCCAGGCTGGCCTCGCATTCATGGCAGTGCTCCTGCCTCTGCCTCTTGAGTGCTAGGATTACAGAAGTGCGACACTACACCTGGCTTTGATCTTTTGTCCTTACTTTGCTTCCTGGGATTGTAGCAGTGTGATTCTTCTTTACAAATCTACTGTATTTTTTCTAGGGTTTCGCTTAAGACATAATTTGAATTTTTATTTCCTGGTAATTATTTTCAACCACTTTTATTTTCTAAATATATTATTCCTTTCCTTTCTGTTCCTTCCCTTCCCTCTGGGATACATCACCACACCCTACAACAATCTTGCTTTTTTTTTTAAAGTTTATTTGAAAAAGTGAAAGTGAAGAATGAGGGGGAAAACTGGCTCTGCAGTTAAAAATAAGTTAAAAAGTTAAAAATAAGAGAAAAGTACACCCTGGAGGAAGCAGGTTGGACTGTAGTGGGGAAAGTCACTAAGGCAGCAGTTTTGCTTTTAAAGTGAGTTAGCCTAACCAAACTAGAAGCCCATCTGTGAACCAAACAATAAAACAGTACCCTTAGCTCCCTCATTCTGGACATATATTTTTATAATATTATGTGATAGTCATTTAGTAGACATGTGATTGGGTTTTTTTTGCCAAAACTTTTTTTAAAAGGAGGGAAAAACAAAATTACTAAGTCTTCTCATTCTGTACTAGTATTATTATTTTGGGTTTTGGTGTTTTCAGCCTAGATCCATCCTGATTAAATTTCATCTGGTGAGATTCAGCCTATCTTTTGGAATACCAGTTGTGTCCATACGTTGACTATCTCCACCTCCTTCCCATACGGGGGAGGGGGTGTCAAACTCAGGACCTTGTGCTTGCAAGGCAGGTGGCAGCACCACTGAGCTAAATCCCCAGCCCTCCACCTCCTTTCTATCCCAAAGCTCAGTTTGCCATCTGTAGCCTCATATTTGTCATTGATAAAAGTGTTGAACAAGTATTTAAGATTTCTCTAGCCCTGGAAATTATAAGAAAAACATGTCTTCATTTTTTGGAAGGAAATATGTTTAGAAATAAACACCAAAGTTGGGCATGGTGGTGCACATCTGTAATTATGTAACTCTGGGAGACTGAGGCAGGAGGCTCACAGGTTCAGGCCTACCCTGGACAACTCAGTAACTTAGCAAGACTCTGTCTCAAAATAAAAGGACTAGGGATGTAATATAGCTCATTGTGAAGGCCTTGGGTTCAATCCCCAGTACCTCAAAAAAATAAAATTTTTAAAAATCAGAAGAAATTTAGGAAATAGTAATTTTATTGATAACTTTTTTCAGAGTTCTAATTTAGGATATTAAGTCAGTGGTTTTATAATCTGTCTTTTTCTTTTTTCTTCAGGGACCCATCTGTGTCTAAGTCTATAGAACGAATATTTAAAATCTGGGAAGACAGAAATGTATACCCAGAAGAAATGATCATGGCATTGAGAGAAGCTTTGAGTAAGTGTCTTTTCTCTCCTAAAAGAAAAATTTAAGCCAGTCTTTATTAAATATATATACAGAGAAAGAGAGACAGATAGATCTGGTCCTCTTGTGTAATAATAATAAATAAAATTTTGGATCTGTCTGTGTTTGTTTTAAATTAAATATTTTTTAAATTAAATGTTTGAATTAAAAATTTAAATGGAATTGGTTTTGAAAGCAGGGTATTTTGTTTTTATTGACCAAGAAAATCAAGCATATTAAATTATTTTCCTGCATTTGCTTTGTTTCGATTTGTTCACTGATTGTGTTTAATAAATAATGTCCTCTTACTCTTGAAGAATTTTTATAGTTTTATTTCTGTTTAGCTCTTTGATGCTAAGTGTACTGATAGCCTTTAGAGTCTTGATTCAGATTTGCAATGCATTGTATGCTTCCTTTATTTTTAAGTAATTTCTTTCTCTGTATTTGATTCATGTAATTATTAAGTCATTGCATAGAGTTTGGTGATAATTGGCTACAATGACCATCATTTGATTAGAAATTTGCTTTTAAAATAACATCATCTAAGAAGCTGTTAAAGTCTTCATTTGAATTTGTTAACTGATATTTTCAAGCTTCTTTCCCTATTATTTTCAGAACTGGTTATTTGAATGACTATAGAAATTATCTTTATTTGATAGCTTCTTAGATCTGGTAGGTGTTTCATATGTATACGTATATGTATATGTATATGTATATGTATATGAAAGAAAAGGAAAGAAACAACACAGTCTCGGATTGCCTTTTTTTCATACTACAACTTTGGCACTGAAGTGGACAGACAACAGCTTCCCATAATGCCAGATTGCAAAAACTGTTTTCCAGGTACCACTTTCAAAACTCAGAAGCAGCTGAAAGAAAATCTGAACAAACAACCGAATAAGCAGTGGAAGAAATCACAAAGTAAGGAACAAAATCTCAACTAATATAAAATTACCTCCTTTTTTTGGAGCAGAAGAAAATTTAGACCATTTGACATCATACCTGGCAATAAACCACAGGCAAGCCTGTGTTTTCCAGGCCTTGGAGGCTCCCAGTGACTTATGCTAAACAAATCATCATGAAGTTGTTTCTTAATAGGCCACTATTACAAAAGAAATGTAGAAAAAAGGGTTAAATTGAGTGAAGATTCAAGAGTAGATGGGATTGAAAGAAGAAAAAAAAAACCCTGATAGTACTCAGGCTAATTCTCAGGTTCAAAGATGTATAAAGTTAGAGGCAGCTGGCATTAAACAACAGATCTAAAGAGGAGACTAGGCATTAAGCGTTTCTGTGAGAGCCATGAAATCCTTCAGATTTGGGGATCCACTCTACCCAATTAGACATGGCCTCAAATCTTGGCAAGAAGCTCATTCTGTTAACTGGAGCTCCTGGTGTGTTTATCACATTTACCAGCATGAGATCAAGGGAGCGGAACACTGCGTGTGATAGGCTGCTGTGGGCAAACACATATTGAGAGAGCTTGAAGGTGTGGAGGGAACAAAGTAAAAGACAGTGAGAACTGGGAGGTGAACCAAGACACTTGGGATGGATTTTGCTCCATCAAGCATATGCTGCTCGTCATGGTTAAGGGAGTCTGCTGATGTCCTTTTGGTCATAAGTTGCATGCTTAGGAACAAGAGTCATCATTTCAGCCAAAGTTCAACCACAGTGGTAATTTACTTAGAACTTTTCTTGCCTCTTTTTGCTATGAATGGAGGCAGCACAAAAGAAGTGCAAGGCTAAATACACGGGAATAGAATTGATATTTGTAAATCATTTTCTTCAGACAGTATTCAGGATTAATTGGACACCCTGTTCCAGAACACACTCTTTGAGGTGTTGAGACCCACTTAGTCAGACTAGAAAAAGAAATTACTTCATGTATCTCAGTATCTGCAGACCAGTAAGCATAGGACTTTATGACTTCAAGGGTCTGTTGGAGATAAGTGGGTTAGGCCTATCTAAATAGTGTATTTTTATATTGACCATACTTGGGAGTGTTTAAATTTCATAGTACATTCTTTATTCTAGGAACTATATTATGATTTATATGTGCATGTCATATATCCAAGAGTATACCCTTAACTATACAGCTAAAATTTTTACTGTTTAGTCAACTCTTTGTGTTTGTATTCTTAGTGACCTTTTCTTTAATTCCAACAGCATCTACGAATCCAAAAGCTTCTCTCAGGTCTAAAATTGTTGCTGAATTTCGAGTAAGTTACAGAATTTGTTAAATACAGTAAAGCATTATTTACTTCTTTTGAGTTAGTTTCCTGTGTCTTTCAGTAAAATGTATTTTTTAATCAGATATACATCATTTATGTTCTAAGTGTACTTGAACTGTTATAAAGGAGTCCAAATTGGTTTAGGTTACTTAGAGTTTTCTGTTTCTATATTGGGAGAAATAACATCCAGAATCTTTAACCTGCTGAGTTTTGTGTTAAACTTGGCTGACAAGAAGGCTCATCTTTTAAAGAGTTATAAAAGTGACAGTGATGAATGTAACTGTACTGTATACCTAAAAAGTACCAATAAAAGTATCAATGAAGGAAAAAAAAAGAGTATATAAGTAAGCCTTTGTCTGTTTCTGTCTTAACCCCTGTTTTCATAATTAACTTTGTATGATTAAGGAAGTATATAACTAAAAATACAATTTTGATAAGAGAACTGACCATTGATATTCCTTATTGAGGAAAAGTGGCTCCTGGCTTTTATTAGGCTTTAGTCCTTTTTTTTTCCTCCCATTAAGTTTATCGGTACATTTAAAGCAAACAATACAGTTACATTCATCATTGGGATCTTGTACCTTTACATGATGTATCTTGGTTCTTATTTTTCCCCATACCCCTGCCCTCTCTTCGCTCCCTTCACCCTTCCCTATTTATGAAGACTTTGTTTCCATTTTCCCTTTTTTATATTTTTTTCTTTTCCCTTATTTCTTTTCCCCTCCCCTTTCTACTTCCCTTTTAGCCATTTTCTTCCTATTTTACACTATCATTTATACCATTTGAGCCTTATTTACGCTTTTAGTTTCTCGTGCAGTCCTTTTTACATTAATACGGAGAGGTAGAAGAAAAATTGAATAATCTCATAACTATGATTCTGGTCTGTGTTCAGTCTCAGAACCTCATTGAAGAACTAATGATCTACAAGCGCTCAGAAGATCAGATAGAATTGAAGGAGAAACAGTTGTCAACTATGAGGGTGGATGTGTGCAGTACAGAAACTCTGAAGTACTTAAAAGGTAATACTTAACATCCTTTGAACAAAATTAGGTTTTTCTGTAGAGCATCACTTTCAGGTAATTAGATTAGTTTACCCCATAAAGAGAACTAAGGTACTTCTGGTGCCCCAGATAGTGACTTCATTCATGTAAATTCTACAAGTAAATTCTGAGCTGTCTCTTCACTCTCTGAGTGTATTAGGTCGTATATAAACTTGTATTTCGTAACTATGGTCAGTTGGTTTAGGTGAGCTCTTTAATAAAGTCACTGTAATGTGCTATAAAATCTAGTTATTCTCTTTTCCTTGCATTGTAAATTATATATAATCATACTAATAAGTTTACTAGGATGTGTGCCTCATGAAGTGAGAAATTATTCTTATTCATTGGTGTTTCTCAGAACTTAGAGCAATCTGTGGCACATAGTGGGTGTTTGGTTCATTTTGGCCTCAGTGTTTTTCCTACACCATACTTTAAATTAAACAAATGTCATCTGATCCTCATAATAACCCATAAGCATACGAAAATGTCACCAGGGTGAGGCAGCTAGAGGGTAGGGTTGTTTGTTTGGCTTTTGAGACGGGGTCTGGCTATGTAGTGCAGGCTGGCGTTGAACTCACTCTGTAGCCCAGGTTGGCCTAGAACTCACAGAAATTCCTCTGCTTCAACCTCCTGAGTGCTGGGACTACAGGAGTGTGCAACCACACCTGGCTAAAATCTCATTCTTGTACACAAGAAATCTAAGGCTTCATAAGGAGGTGAATAGCTGGCTTAAGTTACACAGCTGAGAAGAAGCAAAACCAGAACTTACTATCATATCCAAAGTCATGTTGTAGCAGTCACTGAGAAAGAAGTATGTATCAAATTACTAAAGATCTTTTTCATCCAGCACTCCCAGAAAGTCTCAGAAAGTTCTAGGCCAGCCTGGGATACATAGTGAGACCTTGTTTGTTCATTTTTAAATGAGGTACCAGGTGGCTCATGCCTGTAATCCCGTGTAATCCCAGCACTTGGCAGGCAGAGGCAGGAGGCTCCCCATGAGTTTGAGGCCAGCCTGGGGTACATAGTGAGTTTAGGGCCAGCCCAAAGTGCAAAGCGAGACCCTGTCTCAATGAGGGGGGAACCCTGTCTCAATAAACAAACAAATAGATGAGATCTGTTTCAGATCAGGTAGAAAATAGAATTTAGTGTGATACAGAGATCATTTTGTTTTTCTGAACCTTAGTTTTGTCATCTAAAAGATGTATCCTTTTGATTTGACTACTTATTTAAATTGGATAAACGTGTCTTCAAGGTGGAAGTCAATTTATTTGTTCTATATTTCAATACAGTGTACAGCACTGTGTACAATACAGTGTACAAAATGGAGAGGGTAAGGGGGAAAAGGGTGGGATGTACCATGTACAGGTGCAAATTCCCAATGAAGATTTTTTTCCCTTGGTACTGGATATTCAAGCCAGGGCCGTTTGCATGGTAGGCCAGCTGTAACAAACTTTGTTTATTTATTTACTTACCATCGCTTCTCGGCCTTTTGGCTAAGATCAAGTGTATTTATTTACTTACCTATTATATTATAAAAGTGTGTGCCTAACAAACTTTGTTTAGTTGAACCTGTGTGTGTGTGTGTGTGTGTGTGTGTGTGTGTGTTACTGGGGATTGGACTGAGGTCCTTCACCATGAGCTACATCCCTACCCTTTTTTACTTTTTTTAAATTTTGAGACAGTTGATTTATTTCTGTAGTATTTTGTAAGAGTTAAAATAAAAGTTCGAGTGCTGGTTAAAAATTTTTTTGAGACAGTTGTTAAATTACTAAAACTGGACTCAACTTGTAATCCTCCTGTCTCAGAGTACTGGAAATGTGGACATGCACCACCACTCCCAGCTTGAACTTTCTTTTATCTTAATTGTAAGTATACTCAGTCTTATTTCACGGTAGCAGATTCACAGGATCTGGTTTTTTGTTTGTTTTTAGGAATCTGTTTTTTGAAGAATTTCACTAAACTTACTATTTTTTGATTTGAAGAAGCTGTAAGGTAAAAATCTGAAGCTAAAAGTATTACACAATAAGGCAGCAAGAACAGGATCACAAAGGGATTTTCCTCAGAAGTAAAATTTTTACTTGTTCTTTTGAAACATTTTCTGTGTTATTTTAGATAAAACAGGAGGGAAGAAGTTTTCCAAAGAATTTGAAGAGGCAAGCGCCAAGCTGGAAGAATTTGTGAATGGATTAGATAAGCAGGTGAAAAATGGACCCTCACTAACAGAAGCACTGGAGAATGCTGGGATTTTCTATGAAGCACAGTACAAAGAAGTAAAAGTGGTGGCCAATGTAAGTGATAATTACAGCTGTCTTACAGGGAATGTTTACCATGTATCTGACTTTACATATAGTATCTAATGTTAGGATAAATAGCATTATCTACCTCTCCCAGATAAAGAAAATACTTCACAGCATGGTGGTATACCCTGCACTCTCAGCATTCGTGGCTGAGGCAGGAAAGTTGCCGCAAGTTCAAGGCCAGCCTGAACTACCTAGCAAGACCATGTCCCCCAAAAATGTTTTTTTATACTTTTGAAGAGAGTTAGTGATCTTGTACAAGTTAATACAGGTAGTATGAAGTGGCTGTTAAGCTAATGCGTTGGTATTTTGAAGTTGCTATTAGAAGATATAAAACTGTGCAGAAATATACATACTTTTAATTTTTTTTGTCTTTTGGTATGTGAATCAAACTCAGGACCTTGCGCTTCCCAGGCAGGCACAGCTCCACTGAGCTAAATCCCCAGTCCTCCATACCTTTTTTTTTAAAAGCAAAAAACTGAATGGGAACACTAGGTTACTAAATTTCATGTGAAATGACTGAATTTTCTTCCCCCATTGAAAGGGGAAGGAGGTAGTAAATGGTCACGTGTCTAATGGCCTGTGAAAAAAATATTTTGCGCATACTTTTTGAAATTAAAAATTTTTTTTAACTTAGTATATGTTTACAGTACACTTTTTTTTTTTTTTGGAGACAGGATCTCACTATGTAGTTGAGACTGACCTGGAACTCTTTGTAGCCCAGGCTGGTCTCGAACTCACAGTGATCCTCCTGCCTCAGCCTTGCGAATGCTGGGATTACAGGCGTGTTCCACCAGGCCCAGACAGTAGACAACTTTTTAAAGTGTTAATCACAGCATGGTCATAAAATATATGAAACTATAAGTCCCACCAGTCAGTCCTGTTTCCTATATATGGTCTTTTAACCCATTTAGCTTTTTAAAAAAATAATTTGCCTATATTGTTCTTTCTTACAGTAAGCATACAGTATTTTAGAAATACCTGTTCATTTGTTATGACACAGGTAGCTTATACTTTCCTGCCTTACCCCCTCTTCCTGAATCATTGTACAATTTAAATCTCTCAAGTACCCTTCTAAACTGAAGTACTATGTTTGCCAGTTTTTGACCATTAGCTCTAGACATCTGGCTTTGTAGCATTTGGACTTTGACATCTTTGTCTTCTCATTAGTTTTTATCTCTTCCTTCAGATTTTCAACTTCAGTCAACTATAATCTGTGCGTGCGTGTGTGTGTGTGTGTGTGTGTGTGTGTGTGTGTGTGTGTTTTGCTGGGGATTGCATGCACTAAGCATGCACTCTACCATTGAACTTCCACTTGTAGCCCCCAGTTTTCTTTTTCCTTCCTTTCCCTCTCCTCTCCCCACGCCCCTTTCTCTTGTTCTTCATTTTTTTTGTTTTTGGGTTTGTTTTTTTTGTGTTTTTTTTTTTCTTTTGAGAAGGACTCTCACCATTGTTACCCAGACTAGCTAGCTTGGAATTCCTAGCTGGAGGGATCCTCTAGCCTCGGCTTCCTGAGTAGCTGGCATTAAAGGTACATGCACACCACTGTGCTATTTTACTTCTACAGAATCAAGATTGATAATATTAATGTTGCATTCTGTAATCATAATTATGTATTTCCTTTCTCTAAAATTGGAAAATTGACTTTAACATACCCAATATTGCTAAGCATGGTGGTGCACATCTGTAATCCCAGCACTGGGAGGCTGAGGCAGGAAGATTCTAAATTCAAGCTCAGCCTGGCCAATGTAGCAAGACAGCAAGGTCAGACACTCTCAGTCCCCATTCTTCCCAGAGACCTCCTGCCGGAATGGCAGTCCTCTTCCTCCTCTCTGTGAAGTGCTCTGGATGTTGTCCTTGACTTCGCTTTGTTGCTATCCAGAGTTGAGTCCTCTGTTTTCCACATTTTGTCTCTTGGTTTTCTCCCATTTTGCTGAAATATTCATGAGTAATTTCTCAGAAAGGGTTTGTAAGAGATAAGTTTTCTATGTCCTTATGTCTAAGATCATTAATTTGTCAGCTTTTAATAAAATGTATACATTTTAATACAATAAATTTTCCTCTAAGTTACGGTTCAGTTTTGGTGTTTTAAGTGTCTTTTTTGAGACAGCGTTCACCTTGGCCTTAAACTCACAGCTGTCCTCCTGCTTCAGCCTCCTCAGTGCTGAGATTACAGGCGTGAGCCACTGTATATGTCTTTTTAAGTAGCATATAATCAGATCCTGCTTCATTATTTTAATCCAGTCTGACAGTCTTTGGCTGCTTTTCCCTCTAGTCTTGGGGTTCTGATACAGAGGCACTTTATCACTGACCTACATTGTTAGTCCTTCGTCTTTCTTTAAAAGACAGGATCTCACAGAGTTGCCTTAGCCTTTTGAGTAATAGGGATTAAAAATGTGCACCACAGCACCTAGAAATATTTAATTCGAGCTTTTGGTGATATGATTGGGTTTAAGCCTGCCATGTTGAGGTTTGTTTTATCCTATCTGTGTTGTTTTATTTGTGGTACACAGGGAGTTTTAAGCCAAGGCCTTTACACTAAGCTCCATCCATAGCTGTTTATTATTTTTTATTTTGAGACAGCATCTCACTAAGTTGCCCATATGTACAGCATCTCACTAAACTGTGATCCTCCTGCTTAAGCCTGCCAAGTGCTGGGATTACAGGTGTGCACTACCACGTCTGGCTTGTCCTGTTCTTTGTTACTTCTTTCCTCCTTCTTGTTTTTAAATTAAATAACTTTAGGATCCATCTTTTTTGTTGTTGTTGCTTTGTTTTTGTTTTGGGGGATAGGGTCTCTCTTTGTAGTTCAGGCTGGTCTTGAACTCACAGTGATCCTCCTGCCTCAGCCTCCCAAGTACTGGGACTACAGGTATGCATTACTATGCCTGGCTCTAGGCTCCATCTTACCTGTTTTTGCTTCATGCATCTGTGTTCTCGGTTTTTGTCTCTCGTTCCCTCTCCCTGAATTTTCTGTGGTGTATTTTTTATGGTGTGTATACATATGTATACAGGATACACACATAAGTATACAGGAATGCACACATCCATTCTCTTTGCATATCTTATACTGTACATTTGAAGCAACTGTTGTATGGAAACTAAATTGTGTCTCTCTTTTTCTTTTTTCTTTTTCTTTTTTTTTTTTTTGGTACTGGGGATCGAACTCAGGACCTTGTTGTGTCATTTTCTACTTAGAAGCATTCAGTGTTTTGGTTTTGGTCCCCTCAACTCCCTGCAATCAGTTAAAGTACCCATGATCAGTCACTGATGTGGAGGCCTGGCTGCAGTCTCTTTGGGGTTTGCTTGAACAGACCCCTGAGTGCTGGAACAGTTTTTTTGCAGGGGTACCAGGTACTGAACTCAGGACCTTGTGATTGCAAGGCAGGCACGGTGCCACTGAGCTAAATCCCCAGCCCTGGAACAGTATTCTTAATCACCCTGGCACGGGCAGGGTGAAATCCCTGCTCAGATTGCTTCCAAGCTGCTGTTGCTTTTGGATCCTTAGAGATCTCACCAAAGGAACTCTCTCTACCACCCTGCTTGATCCACTCATCCTGCCTGCCACAGTTCTTTTATTTGGACTTTTATCTCCACTTGAGTTGTGGACATAATTGTGTCAACTTCATATTTTCCTTCTGTGTAACCAGGATTATTCACTGCAAGTTCGAGGCCTGCATGGATTACATAGCAATACCCTGTCCAAAAAAACAAACAAAAAGAGCAACCCACTTTCTGGATCCCCTCCTGTCTCTTTCAGGAGCTGTCTCTCCCTCAATAAAATTTCCTTCTTTAAAAATTTTTTTCATCTAGAATCTTTAGGTTCTAATTTCTTCCATTGGTTTACTTTAGGATCATCTCACATAACTGCTGTGTTCTCAATTGCTGAGGAAAACATTATTTACTATTGAAGACTCAGATTAAACCAGTTAAAGATACTATAAAAATACTTATTGTATCAAGGGCCATGTACTTAGCTCAGTGGTGCTGCCGCCTGCCTTGAAAGTGTAAGGTCCTGAGTTTGATCCCCGGAACCAAAACAAAAAAAACTATCAATAGAAATACATCAGGTTTGACTTTCATAAAGCCAAGAAAAATAAATGTCAGATTCTGAATTTCTATCATATTGCCCTTTCAACACACCAGCATAAAGAATATTCTTTAAAGTTTTTTTAATAAAACTTCCTGGGTGTGGTGGCACACACCTGTAAAATGTCAGCACTCCGGAGGCTGAAGCAGGAAGATAACCATGAGTTAGGGACCAGCCTGGGCTACATAGTGAGTTCAAGGCCAGCTTGAACTACATAGCAAGACCCTGTCTCAGAAAAAAAAAAAAGCTACTAAGAAAGGAAGGAGCCAGGGATGGTGATCACGTCTGTGATCCCAGCATCCCAGGATGGCAGAGGGATGAGGTGGAGGGAAGGGCAGCTGCTTATACCATGACAGCCAGGAAGCAGAGCATTAGAGGAGCCAGGCAGGAGGCACAGTGACCTGCTTTCTCCACCAGGCCCCGCCTCCTAGTGCAAGTCGGCCTGGTGCTTCGTGATCATGAGGCCTGTAAGATCTGTGAGAGAGTGAGTGTGAGTTTGTCACAAGACAGTCATGACATTTGTTTCTAGTTTTTGCCTTTCTTCAGTGCCTGGGATTGAACCCTTGGCTTTGTGCATGCTGGGCAAGTGCCCTACTGCTGAGCTACATCCCTAGCCCTTCCCTTTTTAAATTTCTAACTTCTTTTACAATACAAACAAAACATTACTCCTCTTCAGGGTCTTACCTTATTCTCTCCCCAAAAAAAACCTACCCAGAAAATACTCCCTAGCGTGATTTTTCAGAATGCATAATATAAACTCTGCCCCCAAAATAAGCCCAGTTAAGAGCGTCAGCCAGACAGGTGCATTTAGTACACCCATTACAACACGGTGAGTGGACCTGTTGGATTATGACGATGTTCTAGAGGATGACATGACTATTCAAATAAATATAATTTTTTACATGAATAAATGAGTATAGTTTGTTGTACATGAATAAATGTAATTTGTACATGCAAAAACAAGACATCTCTTGAAAATGAGCCCTAATGAGTCTTTTGGAGCAGAAATTAATATAAGGCCTGGCATAGGTATTGATCAACCCCCTTGTGGGTAGCTAGTCACCCAGCATTTCTGTTCTTTCCCCACCACTTCTGTGGGCTTTCTGTATGTCCTCCTTAGGCTCCAGCATCCCTTGCAATGCTTCTTGTCCCTTTCTTCTCAGCCCTAACCTAGTGGGTTTTGCATTGCATTACTCAAGAAAGGCAAGGGAAGTGATTTTTTTAATATTCATGACTATTAATCATAGCTGTTTTGTTTTTGTTAAGTAGTTCCATTGTTGGCTTTATCTCATGGGTATATTTCTAGTGTCTTTTTTTCTTCATTTATTTGTTTTTGTTGGGTTGGATTGTTTGGTACTAAGGATCTAACTTGGGCCTTTGCACTTGCGAGGCAGGCAGCAGAGCCACTGAGCCAAATCTGCGGCCTTTTCTTTATTTTTTGAGATAGGATCTTACTGCGCAGTTCAGGTTGGCCTCAAACTTGAGGTAATCCTCCTGCTTTAGCCTCCCAAGTGCTGGAATTATAGGCGTGCGCCACCATGCCAAGCTTCTTCAGTCATTTAAACCTATCACTTTGCCTAATTTTTTATTGAATGAAGAATGTTATATACAAAAAATTGTATAGACTCTGGCTGATTTCTCTTTTCCCAGAGAGTATTCACTCTCTCTTTTGCTGTCAGATATTTTTAGGGACTGATCTGAATCTGAACTGTGGTTTGGGTAAGCTTTATCTCACCCAGTTCTTAGATCCTGAAGTCATTTCTAGTCCTCTTCTCCGTAGCATGATTTGGACTGAAGACATTGTCTTGTTAGCACTACACTTCCATTAGGTACCTGAGGCTTTCTGCTTGGCCTCTTAACTTCCCTCCTAGTCATTATGAGAATGCAGCAATATCATCAAGGAAAAATTATTCGTCAGTTCTACCCTGCCTTTTTTTTGCCCCTTCTTTTCACAGTACTAAGGATTAAACTCAGGGCCTTAATGCATATTAGACAAGTGCCCTACTGCTGTACTGTACCCCTAACTTTTTATTTATTTATCTATCTATCTATGTATGCATATGGCTGAACTCCTGGCCTTCATACTGAAATACAACCCAACCCCATTTTTAATTTTTTTTATTTCGAGGCAGGATCTCACTAAGTTGCCCAGGTTGGGCTTCAGCTTGTGATCCTCTTGCCTCATCTTCCCAGAGTGCTGTAATTATAGGAGTGCACACAGCTCAGGGTAGTATTTTGTTTATTTCTTTTCTTTTCTTTCTTTCTTTCTTTTTTTTTTTTTTTTTTTTTTTTTTTTGGGTGGAAGGTACTGGGAGTCAAACTCGGGTCCTTGTGCTTGAACCACTGAGCTAAATCCCCGGCCCTTAATTTGATTTTTTGGTCTGTTTTCTTAATCATTGCATATCTTCAATTCTAGAATAATTGCCTGCACATTGAGATTCTCAGTAAGTATTGCTTGGATTCCGATGTGGTAGCACACAGTTGTAATGCCAGTACTCTGGATGGCTGAGGCAGGAGGATCACATGTTTGATCCCAGGCTGGGCAGCTTAGCAACCTGGTGAGACCCTGTCTAAAAAATGAAAAAAAAAGGATTAGAGGTGTAGCTTTATGTAATGACTCGAGCTTCAATCCCTGGTACCACAAAATAAATAATGCCTGGTTGAGTGGACAGGTGAAAGTGAGGGAGGATGAATTACAAACAACCTTTAGATTATAAGTCAGGCAGCTGTTTGGATGGCAAGATTCACTTAAGTACACAAAGCAGAAACTAGAAACACTTGGGCTCCGTGTGGTAGTGCGTATCTGTAATCCCAGCTCTCTGGCAGACTGGTGATGCAGGAGGATCGTGAGTTCAAGCCCAGCCTTGGCAATTTGTCCACTTACTGAGACTCTGTCCCAGAATAAAAATAAAAAGGGTTTTTTGGATTGTAGCTCAATACAAAAGCCCTGGCTTCAGTCTCTATTAACACAGGAAAAAACTATTCCATGTGTTACAAATGATGGTATTTTTTTGTTTTATGCAAGTAACATTGTCAATGAGGAAATTGTTTATAGTAAAAATAAACTTTTTATCTCTTTCAGGCATACAAAACCTTTGCTAACCGAGTAAACAATTTAAAGAAGAAATTGGATCAGTTAAAGTCAACCCTTCCTGATCCTGAAGAATCACCAGTCCCTTCCCCAAGCATGGATGCTCCCTCCCCAACTGGCTCTGAGTCTCCATTTCAAGGAATGGGAGGTGAGGATTCCCAGTCACCAACTGTGGGGAGTGAGAAATCTGCCACACCTGAGCCTGTGACGGACAATCGTGATGTGGAAGACATGGAGCTCTCAGATGTAGATGATGATGGGTCCAAAATCATCGGTATGTCCTTATGTAATCTGTAGATAACTTAGCTCCTTACCAGCTTCACCTTCCCACCTACTAGTCACTCACAGGCAGATAGTAAAAGATAGTTCAGAACGTAGATGGTTAGAATATCAGAGTAGCATTATTGTCCCCAAAACAGTGAGTAGTTCAGGATTTGGTATGCCCCAAAGTTAAGAATCATTGCTTGAAGCTGGGCGTGGTGGTGCACATGTGTAATCCCAGTACTTGGGAGGCTGAGGCAGAAGGATCACAAAGGGAAACTGAACCACAAAGGAAGACCCTGTCTCAAAAAATAAAAAGGCTGGGGATTTAGCCCAGCAGCACAGCATTTGCCTGGCAAGTGGGATGTCCTGAGTTTGATTCCCAAAGTCAAAGAAAGAGAAAGAGAGAGAGAGAGAGAGAGAGAGAGAGAGAGAGAATATTACTGTTCATAGCCAGATGTAGTGGTGCATGCCTATAATTTCTGCACTTGGCAGGCTGAGGCAGGATTATAGCAAGTTCAAGGCCAGCCTGGGCTACATAATAGGCTCAAGACCAACATGAACTACATAGTGAGACCCTGTCTCAAAACAGAGGTTGTGCACACCTATAATACCAACACTCAGAAGGATCATGAATTCAAGGTCCAGCCCGTGCTACAAAGTGAGTTCAGGGCTAGCCTAGACTACATAGTGAGACCTTATCTCAAAAAAAAAAAGAATCATCTGGATTGGAGATGTAACTCACTGTGCTTGCCTAGCACACACCAATCTTTAGGCTTGATCCTCAACACTGCAACAAAAAAGAAAAAGAAGGAAAGGAAGAATTATTGCTCGAGATAAATACTGTTAGCAGATGCCATGGTGCATATGTGTAATCCCAGTTACTCAGGAGGCTGACACAGGAGGATTTTGATCCAAGGCCAACATGATCAACTTAATGAGACCCCTTCTCAAAAAAGTTAACTGGAGGAGCGGGGTTTAGCCCAGGGGTTCTGCCACCTGCCTCGCAAGCATAAGGTCCAGAGTTCGATCTCCAATACCAAAAAAAAAAAAAAAAACATTAAATGGAGCTCGTGTGCCGGGTGGGGATGGTGAGAGCGAGGAAGCAGCTGGAGGTGACACCAGGTGGGTATGCTTGTGGCAGAGAGCCAAGCGGATCACAGGACACTGCTCAGACCAGCAGCGAGGTGTCAGGCTCTCAGTCGCCAAACCAAGCCTATTCCTGCCCCCAACCAGCCAAAGACCCCAGAGAGCAGAGGTCCCGGGACAACCAAGCTGGTGACGTCTTCGACCCCCTCTTCATCTGCAACCTCGAACGCGGGAGTGGATCCCAATACCCTAACCTGTGCCCCACAATCTATGACACTGGTGCAGTGTGGCCCATGGATGCACCCGAAAATGGGCAGAAGATCTGCGGCTTCTTGCAAAGGACCAATAGCCTGGAAGAGAAGAGTCAGCTTGTGTGTGCCTTCAAGGAGATCTAGTCCTGCAAGAACCTGCTTTCCTGTGAAAACAGCGATTGGGATGCCCACTTCCGATGAACAGAAAACGACTTCTCCAACCTGTTTGTCCGAGATCTGCTTCCAGCTAGGAATGGGAAAGAGCAAACTGTGCAGTTCCTACTGGAAGTGGTGGACATATTCCCCAACGATGTCTGCAAGACATTTGATCGCGCCACCAAGGTGCTGGACTTGCATCACCCACACCAGTTGCTAGAAGGCATGGAGGGCTTTAACTTGGAGCTCTCCAAGCACCCTGAGTCCCTGGAGGAGACACCCTGAAGTACGGGGTACACACAGGTCACCCTCAGTTTTTCAACCAGCTTTCCATTGGCCTGGATATCATTGGCTTAGCTGGAGAGTGGCTGATGTCAACCGCCAATAGCAATATGTTTACGTATGAGATTGCACCAGTGTTTGTCCTCATGGAGCAAATAACAACTTAAGAAGATGAGAGACATAGTTGGATAGTCAAGTAAGGATGGTGATGGGATATTTTCTCCTGGGGGAGCCATATCCAGTATGTGTAGCATCATGGCTGCTTGCTACAAGTACTTCCTGGAGGTTAAAACAAAGGGCATGGCAGCTGTGCCCAAACTGGTCCTCTTTACCTCAGAACAGTCACTTCCGTAAAGAAAGCTGGGGCTGCGCTTGAATTTGGAAACTACATTGTGATTTGATAAAGTGCAATGAAAGGGGGAAGATAATTGCAGCTGATTTAGAGGCAAAAATTCTTAAAGCCAAGCAAAAAGCGTTATGTTCCCCTTTATTATGTCAGTGCAACTGCTGGCATGACTGTTTATAGAGCTTTTGATCTGATACAAGAGATTGCAGATATATGTGAGAAATAAAACCTTGGGCGTCGATGCTGCCTGGGGCTGTGGGCTGCTCCTGTCCAGAAAGCACCGCCATAAACTCAAGAGGCAAGCAAGGGCCAACTCAGTCACCTGGAACCCGCACAATTTGATGGGGTGCTGCTCCAGTGCTCAGCCATTCTCGTCAAGGAGAAGGGTCTATTCCAGGCATGCGACCAGATGTGTGCAGGGTACCTCTTCCAGCCAGACAAGCACTATGATATCTCCTACGATACTGGGGACAAGGCAGTTCAGTGTGGCCGCCATGTGGACATCTTCAAGTTCTGGCTGATGTGGAAAGCAAAGGGCACAGTGGGATTTGAAAATCAGATCAACAAATGCCTAGAACTGGCTGGACACCTCTATGCCAAAATTAAAAACAGATGAATTTGAGGTGGTTTTTGATGGGGAGCCTAAGCACACAAACATCTGTTTCTGGTATAGACCACAAAGCCTCAGAGGTGTTCTGGACAACCTTGAGCAATGGGAAAAATTACACAGGGTGGCTCCAAAGTTCAAAGCCCTAATGATGGAGTCAGGCACAACTGTGGCTGGCTACCAGCCTCAGAGGAACAAGGCCAACTTTTTCCAGATGGTCATCTCAAACCCTGCAGCCATCCAGTCTTATATCGACTTCCTCATTGAAGAGATAGAAAGACTGGGTCAGTAACTATAATTGCTCTTTGCAGAAAAGGAGTTTATAGGAAACACATAGGCCATTTCATTTTTAGGAAAATACAGTACCTTGAAGAATACTTGTTTCAACCTTATTAAGCTTGTTAGAGTTATCAAGGAAATGCTGTTCGTTTTAAAAAGTTGCACATTAATGTACAGTTATATATACCTCTGTGTGTGTGTGTGTGTGTGTGTGTGTGTGTGCGTGTGTATATGTATAGTGAGTGTAGTGAGTGTGGCTTAGTATTAGAGCTCAGCATGTCTCCCACCCCAAGAGAATTAACTTCTCCTTCAGTAGTTACTGAGGGGCTAAACACGCTGCAAAGTAGCTCACCCAACAACCGCAGGGAAGGTGGTTTCCAGAATGCTGTGTCCTAGGGACCAGGGCCGACAGTGTTGCGGATGTTGACCTCATTGCCAGTGCTTCTCCCATCTGAAACATGATAGATGAGAAAAAGCACTACTAGGTGACGACTATCACGCCCTCCCCATTGGTACCCGCTTAGGGGAAAACAGTAGCAGAGTCATTCTTACAGGTGTAGTGTTGCTGTATTTTCAGAGATTACTCTGTGTAGATTGTGTATATTACTGTTACCTGGGGAGGGGAGACTAGTAATGATTGTTTAACTGTGGGTCAGTGAAATATTTGCTGATTTATTTATGTTCAGAGATTTACCACATTAAAAGAGGCATCTAGTATTTTCTTCTCATTTGTTATGTATCGTATTTATATATTAATGAAGTAAGTTCTGAATACTGTTTGTTATTTTCGTGCATTTGTGAGCCAAAGAGAAAAGATTAAAATTTGTGAGACACGGATTTATATTAGAGTGCCCTTAAAATAATGATGTGAGCATAAGTGTACTGTCTATAAAAGAATTCTGACATAGCATATTGAGTCATGTATATGGAAATCTTCTTACTTCAGTATCATTGCTCTTCTCTTACCCTCTGTCTGGCTGTGTGTGTGGTGTTCTCAGTGCTTTTCTAGTAACTGTTGGATAGTAACTAGATCTCCTATAATTTTGTAGTTGTTTATGACCAATCTCTGTGACTTGCTTAGTTGAAACCTAAGGCAGTGTTTCTGAAGATCTCTGATAAACTGGCCAGTCTCACAACTGTTTTTTTGAAGAAACGAAATCCATACTGTGCATTTTAGAGTATGCAAGAAGAATATAAATATATTCTCCATGGAGAATTTGAACAACAAAAAAACAAGTTAAATGGAGGCACATACTTGTAATCTAGCACTCTGGAAGGCTGAGGCAGGAGGATTCCAAGTTTAAGCCAAGCCTGGGCAATTTAGTGTCTTCAGGAGATCCTGTCTCAAGATAAAATATTGGGGTGGGGAAAGCCTAGAGATACAACTCAAGGGGCAGGCTCTGGATTCAATCGCCAGTACCAAAAAAAAGTCAGATCAATACTGTTCAGTAAAGCAGTCCCTGGCTATATGTAACTGTTACACTTTTGAAATGCAGTTTGTTTGTTTTTGTTTTCTGATAGTGAAGATTGAACCCGGTGGCGTGTTCTCACTGAGCTACTTCATTAGCCCTTTTTACTTTTTTCTAAATTTTTAAATGTAGCTGCTAGAAAATTTTATTTTTAGAAAATTTAAATTTATATGGAATAAATTATATTTTTATTGGCTAGCACTGCTCTTGGGGGGGCACTTATACTGGAATTCCCCATTCTCTGGCACTCTTGTTTTTGGAGACAGGGTCTCACTATGCAGTTCAGGCTGGCCTTCAGTTCATTATGTAGCCCAGACTAGTTAAATTCATGGCGATCCTCCTGACAGTCTCCTAAGGGCTGAGATTATAGGCATGTGCCACTATACCTATCTGGCTTCTTTGGCACTCTTGACTGCCAAGAATTCAACAGCTAGCTGGGGGTGCTCCCTTCGAAAGCACATACACTAAAATTGGAACAGCTAGCTGAGCATGATGGTGCAGGCCTGTAATTCCATATCTCTGGGCAGCTAAGGCAAAAAGGCTTGCAGGTTCAAGGCAAGCCTGGGCTTTTTTGTTGTTGTTGTTGTTATGCAGAATCAAACTCACAACCTTGTACTTATGAGGCAGGTGCAGTGCCACTGAGCTAAATCCCCAGCCCAAGCGTGAGCAATCTGTGAAACTTAAAAAAGGAACTGGGCATGGTGGTACATGCCTGTAATTTAATACTCTGAGAAGCTGAAGCAAGAGGATGGCAAGTCTGAGCCCAGCCTGGACAATGTAGTGACTTACTGGACCCTGTCTCAAACTGTAAAATAAAAAATCGACAGGGATTATAGCTTAATATGAAAGCTGTGGGTTGAGTTCCCAGAATAAAAAGTTTTTAAATTGGTGTTCAAAAGGCCTGTGGATCTATAGCTCAGCAGTCCCTGAATTCAATCCCCAATACTGGAGAAAACACACACACACACACACCATAAACCACAACCCAAAACTACAATTTGTTAAATGAATTTTCAGAATTACTCCACTGGTAAATTATTTCTCTGAAATCACAGGCTTTCCTTTTTTATTCTTATTGGGTAGTTTGACTTTTCTCGAATTCATTTATTCACCATGCAGCCTTTCAAGCATTATAAAGAACATACTACAAAGTTATGAGAAATGAAAACAGTGAAGCTTCAGGTTAGTTAGGGCCTAATGGGCCTCGGTAGAGAAATTTCAGCAAGCCAGAAGAAAAACAAAAACTGCACAGAGTTTTTGTTACGAAGAAAGTTTTCCAGTCAATGGAAAAAGAACAATTTATGACACACGTCATTCCCAAAACAACACGAATATATATCATGTAATGATAATGTTTCTGGGAATGCACACTTTAAAATTTTATCTTGGGGCCGGGGATTTAGCTCAGTGGTTCTGCTGCCTTCCTCGCAAGCGCAAGGACCCGAGTTCAATCCCCAGTACCTCAATAAATAAATAAATAAATAAATAGAAATTTATCTTATATTTGAAGGTGTTGCTGCAGCAGCACCCTTTTATTATTTGTCTCATCATTTTCCTTTTTCCCGGCATCTTTGTCTTCCTTCCCAGTCTCTCTCCTATTCCAGAAATACCTAATGCATGATACTAAGAAAATGCATATGAAACATTAAAAAGCAATATACAGGATGATTTGGAAATTCCTTTTAAGTAGATATTGAAGGTGGAATGATCATAAATTATGAAAGCTATGACATCAAAAACAAGACAAAACAAAAAACTTCAGCAGGGGGAGGTGGAGAGAATGCCTGTAATCCTCACATTGGGAGGCCGAGGCAGGAGGATCGCAAGTTTGAGCCCAGCCAGGGCAGTTTAATAACTTAGCAAGTCCCTGCCTCAAGATAAAAAGGCTGTGGATGTAGCTCAGTGTGAAGGCCTTACATTGTTAATCCCCAGTGCCTCTAAACAGACAAACAAATAGGGCATAAAGTGATTGGTTGTTTCTCTTAAGTATAGTGCTTTTTACCCTCAAATCAAGAAGTACTAAAATAAATAAAATTATTAGGACACATATTTTGGTATTGGAAGCACAGTCTGGAAGGCAGGAGGGTGTAATACCATCTTTTCTTTGTTGAAACAGTGGAGGACAGGAAGGATAAACCTGTGGAGAAGACAGCCGTCTCCACTTCTGTACCTGCAAAGCCAACAGAAAGTGTCTCAAAGGCCTCTTCGTGTGCTCCAGTGCCTGTGACCATGACAGCAACCCCACCTCTTCCAAAGCCTGTGAATACGTCTCTTCTGTCCCCTGCCCCAGCTTTGGCTTTGCCAAACCTGGCTAATGTGGATCTAGCAAAGATCAGTTCCATCCTTAGCAGCCTGACTTCAGTCATGAAAAATACTGGTAAGTAAGCCCAGTGAAGAGGATAAAATGCTGATTTTCAAAGTTTTTTAATTGAGCCATCAGTGTTTTTTCTTATTATGTTTATATAAATCTTATTTAAAAAATATATGGGACTGGCTGGGGATTTAGCTTAGTGTTTCTACTGCCTGCCTTGCAAGTACAAGGTCCCAAGTTCGATCCCCGGTATCCCCCCAAAAAAGAAAAGAAAAGAAGACTGTTTATGGTGGTTCATGGCTTATAATCCCAATACTCTGGGAGGCTGAGGCAAGAGGAACTCAAACTTGAATCCAGACTGAGCAACGTACTGACTTAGTGAGACCCTGTCTCTAAAGAAGAAGCTGGATGGCTGAGCATAGTTTCGCATGCTCGTGATTCCAGCTCTCAGGAGGATTGCTGACCAGCCTGAGCTACATAGTGAATTCAAGGTCAGCCTGAACTACACAGCAAGACCGTGTTTCAAACCAGCACTCTGGAGGCTGAGGCAGGAGGGCCACCAGGAGTTCAAGGCCAGCCTGAAGAGCATAGTGAGAAGTAAGAGTACCCCCCCATGTACTCCTCACGCACCTGCAGCAGGACAGCTGTGACAGATCTCATTTCGTGTATTCCTCGCCCTCCCTGAATTATTCTGAAGAAAATCCCAGTTGTTTCATTTCATCATAAATACTTAAAAATGTGTATTTCTAAAACATAAAGACAGACTCAGCTTGTGGGTTTTTGACATCTTTTCATGTCATAACTAAGTTAATATCCAAGAAGGTGCTATTTTGTGTATTTGTATGTGAAAGTTCCCATTGTTTTTTATCCTCTCCACTGTTTGCTTTGTTTAATCTATATCATATTCAACTTTAAAATATTGTTTGTGGGCTGGGGATTTGGACCTGAGTTCAATCCCCAGTACCAAAAAAATAAATAAAATATTGTTTGTAAAAAAAAAATATATATAT